TCCTCACGACACTGTCCCGCCCTCACGACCCTGTCCCGCCCTCACGACCCTGCCCGCCCTCACGACCCTCCGCCCTCACGACCCTACCCCCTCACGACACTGCCCCGCCCTCACGACCCTGGCCGCCTCACGACCCTGCCCGCCTCACGACACTGCCCACCCTCACGACCCTGCACCGCCCTCACGACCTGTCCGCCTCACGACCCTGCCCGCCTCACGACACTGCCCCGCCCTCACGACACTGCCCCGCCATCACGACACTGCCCCGCCATCACGACATGCCCCGCCATCACAATACTGCCACGCCCTCACGACACTGCCACGCCCTCACGGACACTGCCCCGCCCTCACGACACTGCCCGCCATCACGACACTGCCCCGCCATCACGACACTGCCCCGCCATCACGACACTGCCCCGCCATCACGACACTGCCCCGCCATCACGACACTGCCCCGCCATCACGACACTGCCCCGCCATCACGACACTGCCCCGCCATCACAACACTGACCCGCCATCACAACGCTGACCCGCCCTCACAACACTGCCCCGCCCTCACAACACTGCCCAGCCCTCACAACACTGCACCGCCCTCACAGCACTGCCCGCCTCACACCACTGCCCGCCCCTCACAACACACTGCCCCGCCATCACAACACTGCCCGCCCTCACAACACTGCCCCGCCCTCACAACACTGCCCCGCCATCAAAAACACTGCCCCGCCATCACAACACTGCCCCGCCATCACAAACACTGCCCCGCCCTCACAACACTGCCCCGCCCTCACAACACTGCCCCGCCCTCACAACACTGCCCCGCCCTCACAACACTGCCCCGCCATACAACACTGCCCCGCCATCACAACACTGCCCCGCCCTCACAACCTGCCCCGCCCTCACAACACTGTCCCGCCTCACAACACTGCCCGCCCTCACAACACTGCCCGCCATCACAACACTGCCCCGCCTCACAACACTGCCCCCCCCTCACAACACTGTCCCGCCCTCACAACACTTGCCCGCCATCACAACACTGCCCCGCCCTACAACACTGCCCGCCCTCACAACACTGTCCCGCCCTCACAACACTGCCCCGCCATCACAACACTGCCCCGCCCTCACAACACTGCCCCGCCCTCACAACACTGCCCCGCCCTCACAACACTGCCCCGCCCTCACAACACTGCCCCGCCCTCACAACACTGCCCCGCCCTCACAACACTGTCCGCCCTCACACCACTGCCCCGCCATCACAACACTGCCCGCGCCTCACAACACTGCCCCGCCATCACAACACTGCCCCGCCCTCACAACACTGCCCGCCCTCACAACACTGCCCCGCCCTCACAACACTGCCCCGCCCTCACAACACTGCCCCGCCATCACAACACTGCCCCGCCCTCACAACACTGCCCCGCCCTCACAACACTGCCCCGCCCTCACAACACTGCCCCGCCCTCACAACACTGCCCCGCCCTCACAACAGGTGTTTGTGGGGCAGTATGATAACAGCGGTGGCTGGAAGTCCTCGTCATGGTTTGGCGTTGGTGTAAGTAGGTGGGGGTGATATTTGGTAATTTAGGCCACAGGTTATTTTATTGGTTTTTGTCTCATGTTTACCTGTAAGGTCCTAGTGTGCAGAGGCCTGTAAGTTCTGGCAGAGTACTCGTATAATGTTTTTGTCTGCTGGTAGACAGACCGACAGAAAGGTGAGCAAGTGTCATGGAGGCTCCCTTTTGTAAATGATAGTATGTTACAAGTAGCAGTGTACTAGTAAACTAATATATATATATATATATATATATATATATATATATATATATATATATATATATATATATATAATATATAATGTGTGGTGTGTGTGTGTGTGTGTGTGTGTGTGTGTGTGTGTGTGTGTGTGTGTGTGTGTGTGTGTGTGTGTGTGTGTGTATAATTTATTTAGTCTAACAATACCACTGAGAGATGACCTTGGGAACAAAATTAATTTGCAAACATTTAATGGGAGGCCAGACGAGTGCTGATCGTGTTCTACTCCAGACCAGACCACAGACCAGACCAGACCAGACCAGACCAGGGCAGCATTGATCAATTAGATGCGTGTGCAACATTTGGTTATCTTTATTCTTTACGGAATAAAGATACCCAGATGTTGCACAGGTGTCTAATTCACCTTGTCGGTATTGTGTAGCAGTTACACACCCGGCATCATTTCCTGCCCAGTCTCTGAGGCAGCAGTTAAATATCTATTATGCACCCTCCATACCCATCCTGTGGGCGGTAATCACAGGATTACAGAGGTACGTAATGGTTCCAGGGACTGTACCTCAACATTACAGAGGGCCATAATGGGTCCAGGGACTAGACCACAAAGTTTTGATAGTTGAACAGGTTAGAAAGGTAATGAATTACCACATGTTTCTGAGGCAGCAGCAGCGTTACTTACATTCACCTTAATTAAAGCGGATTTTCTCAAAACAAGGTTTGGCACATTCTTGTTGCTTATTTTCAATGCCTCATTATTTCTAACGTCTCAGAATTTCTTTTAAATTATCTAAAGTTTCACAAACTGCCTTGGACCCCTTGGAAGGGGCCCTGGACCCCTTGGGGATCTTTGGACCCCAGTTTGAGAACCAGGTACTGGTGAGAGGTGGACCCAGCAGCGCCTCCCCGCGGCACAACACTAGTGCGGCAGACATGGAAGTTAGCAACACACCAGGAGACGCTGGTGGAGAGGTTACAGCGAGTAATGGAGAGGTTACACCGAGTAATGGAGAGGCTACAGCGAGTAATGGAGAGGTTACAGCGAGTAATGGAGAGGCTACAGCGAGTAATGGAGAGGCTACAGCGAGTAATGGAGAGGCTACAGCGAGTAATGGAGAGGTTACAACGAGTAATGGAGAGGTTACAGCGAGTAATGGCGAGCTAAAATGAACTTACGATCAGTAGTGAACCAGGTTAAAATTATTGCTACCTGCTCTTTGCACCCGCTGACTAGTATTTCTGAACAACAGCAATAGAAGTAGCAGGAACAGGAACAGCGGCAGCAGAGGCAACGACAGCAGGGCCAGGAGCAGCAGCAGGAAGAGCAAGAACAGCAGCAGGACCAGAAGCAGCAACATGAACAGCAGCAGCAACAGGAACAGCAGCAACAGGAGCAAGAACAGCAGCAACAGGAACAGCAGCAGCAGGAACAGCAGCAGCAGGAACAGCAGCAGGAACAGCAGCAGCAGGAACAGCAGCAGCAGGAACAGCAGCAGCAGCAGCAGTGGTAACATGTTCTTGACGTGGTCTTTTCTCAGGACGGTTGCGGCTTATGATCTCACCTTGGGCTGCAGCAGTGGTGGCTTGTCTATCCTGCCACGGTGGCTTGTCTAACCTGCCACGGTGGCTTGTCTATCCTGCCACGGTGGCTTGTCTATCCTGCCACGGTGGCTTGTCTATCCTGCCACGGTGGCTTGTCTATCCTGCAACGGTGGCTTGTCTATCCTGCCACGGTGGCTTGTCTATCCTGCCACGGTGGCTTGTCTATCCTGCCACGGTGGCTTGTCTATCCTGCCAAGGTGGCTTGTTTATCCTGCCAAGGTGGCTTGTCTATCCTGCCAAGGTGGCTTGTCTATCCTGCCAAGGTGGCTTGTCTATCCTGCCACGGTGGCTTGTCTATCCTGCCACGGTGGCTTGTCTATCCTGCCACGGTGGCTTGTCTATCCTGCCACGGTGGCTTGTCTATCCTGCAACGGTGGCTTGTCTATCCTGCCACGGTGGCTTGTCTATCCTGCAACGGTGGCTTGTCTATCCTGCCACGGTGGCTTGTCTATCCTGCCACGGTGGCTTGTCTATCCTGCAACGGTGGCTTGTTTATCCTGCCAAGGTGGCTTGTCTATCCTGCCAAGGTGGCTTGTCTATCCTGCCAAGGTGGCTTGTCTATCCTGCCACGGTGGCTTGTCTATCCTGCCACGATGGCTTGTCTATCCTGCCACGGTGGCTTGTCTATCCTGCCACGGTGGCTTGTCTATCCTGCAACGGTGGCTTGTCTATCCTGCCACGGTGGCTTGTCTATCCTGCCACGGTGGCTTGTCTATCCTGCCACGGTGGCTTGTCTATCCTGCAACGGTGGCTTGTTTATCCTGCCAAGGTGGCTTGTCTATCCTGCCAAGGTGGCTTGTCTATCCTGCCAAGGTGGCTTGTCTATCCTGCCACGGTGGCTTGTCTATCCTGCCAAGGTGGCTTGTCTATCCTGCCAAGGTGGCTTGTCTATCCTGCCACGGTGGCTTGTCTATCCTGCAACGGTGGCTTGTCTCTCCTGCCAAGGTGGCTTGAACATCCTGCCAAGGCGAGTGGGGAGCTTGGTGCAGCAACTCAGCACAGACTGAGAAAGGCTCACTCACCCAGAGTTCTCTTCAAAGGGATTTACTGTCACAAAGGTGAGGAATCAAACACGTGTACAACACTCAAGAATCTTCATTTGAAGACTTTTCATCAATCAGTGGCCTTTTCAATTCATGACAGACGAAGATAGAAGAAGATGAGGCACTCAGTCCCTCATTCTTGCAGAACTATGCAAAAAAAAAAAAACCGAGATAATCCGTCCCCTCAGCCTAGGCTGAGGGACTGACTACCTCGTCTTCCACTGTCTTCCGCATATAATTGTATAGTCTTCAGATCAAATCCATGTACTGTACTGATAAAGCCAATAGATAACGAAACGTCAACAAGCAAAGATGTTGAACATGTGTGAAATTCTGCACTGTGCCGCCATTATCTTCAGGATTCTCTCCCGAAGAAGACATTCTTAATACTGTATGTGGAAACGCTCAAGGAAACAATTAGTGTCAATGCAGCCTACCTTTTTTACATTGGAGACTTAGGGAGTGCCAGAATGACCCCCACGACTGTATTCTTAGATAAGTGACTACCGCAGTCACTCTAGATTAATATAGTCATAACTAAACGCTAAATCAGTCACCAGAACACACGCAACTAGTGAGAAAGTGACTTACCTCAGCCCTGTAGAGAGTGGTTCCTGCCGTAGCTACTTCGGGTCGTTGACAGGTGAGGCTGAGGGAGGAGGCAGTGATGTTGGCCAGACGACAGGAGGAGAGAGGCAGTGGCATTTCTGTCGACGAAAAAAAAAAAAGGTTAGATAACTGGGTGTGTCAAAGAGGGTAAATCACATCCAATCAGGTCCTCGATGTAGCCACGATTTATATATATATTATATATATATATATATATATATATATATATATATATATATATATATTATATATATGTCGTGCCGAATAGGCAGAACTTGCGATCTTGGCTTAAATAGCAACGCTCACCTTGCCATATAGGACAAGGGAAAATTTGTGTATGCAATAATTTCGCAAAAATCATTCTGAACCTAACGAAAAAATATATTTCAGTTTGTTTGTTTAGTATTAAATTATTGTTTACCTGGAGTTTACCTGGAGAAAGTTCCGGGGGTCAACGCCCCCGCGGCCCGGTCTGTGACCAGGTCTCCTGGTGGATCAGAGCCTGATCAACCAGGCTGTTGCTGCTGGCTGCACGCAAACCAACGTACGAGCCACAGCCCGGCTGATCAGGAACTGACTTTAGGTGCTTGTCCAGTGCCAGCTTGAAGACTGCCAGGGGTGTGTTGGTAATCACCCTTATGTATGCTGGGAGGCAGTTGAACAGTCTCGGGCCCCTGACACTTATTGTATGGTCTCTTAACGTGCTAGTGACACCCCTGCTTTTCATTGGGGGGATGTTGCATCGTCTGCCAAGTCTTTTGCTTTCGTAGTGAGTGATTTTCGTGTGCAAGTTCGGTACTAGTCCCTCTAGGATTTTCCAGGTGTATATAATCATGTATCTCTTCCTCCTGCGTTCCAGGGAATACAGGTTCAGGAACCTCAAGCGCTCCCAGTAATTGAGGTGTTTTATCTCCGTTATGCGCGCCGTGAAGGTTCTCTGTACATTTTCTAGGTCAGCAATTTCACCTGCCTTGAAAGGTGCTGTTAGTGTGCAGCAATATTCCAGCCTAGATAGAACAAGTGACCTGAGGAGTGTCATCATGGGCTTGGCCTCCCTAGTTTTGAAGGTTCTCATTATCCATCCTGTCATTTTTCTAGCAGATGCGATTGATACAGTGTTATGGTCCTTGAAGGTGAGATCCTCCGACATGATCACTCCCAGGTCTTTGACGTTGGTGTTTCGCTCTATTTTGTGGCCAGAATTTGTTTTGTACTCTGATGAAGATTTAATTTCCTCGTGTTTACCATATCTGAGTAATTGAAATTTCTCATCGTTGAACTTCATATTGTTTTCTGCAGCCCACTGAAAGATTCGATTGATGTCCGCCTGGAGCCTTGCAGTGTCTGCAATGGAAGACACTGTCATGCAGATTCGGGTGTCATCTGCAAAGGAAGACACGGTGCTGTGGCTGACATCCTTGTTTATGTGGGATATGAGGATGAGGAACAAGATAGGAGCCAGTACTGTGCCTTGTGGAACAGAGCTTTTCACCGTAGCTGCCTCGGACTTTACTCTGTTGACGACTACTCTCTGTGTTCTGTTAGTGAGAAAATTATAGATCCATCGACCGACTTTTCCTGTTATCCCTTTAGCACGCATTTTGTGCGCTATTACGCCATGGTCACACTTGTCGAAGGCTTTTGCAAAGTCTGTATATATTATATCTGCATTCTTTTTATCTTCTAGTGCATTTAGGACCTTGTCGTAGTGATCCAATAGTTGAGACAGACAGGAGCGACCTGTTCTAAACCCATGTTGCCCTGGGTTGTGTAACTGATGGGTTTCTAGATGGGTGGTGATCTTGCTTCTTAGGACCCTTTCAAAGATTTTTATGATATGGGATGTTAGTGCTATCGGTCTGTAGTTCTTTGCTGTTGCTTTACTGCCCCCTTTGTGGAGAGGGGCTATGTCTGTTGTTTTTAGTAACTGTGGGACGACCCCCGTGTCCATGCTCCCTCTCCATAGGATGGAAAAGGCTCGTGATAGGGGCTTCTTGCAGTTCTTGATGAACAAGGAGTTCCATGAGTCTGGCCCTGGGGCAGAGTGCATGGGCATGTCATTTATCGCCTGTTCGAAGTCATTTGGCGTCAGGATAACATCGGATAGGTTTGTGTTAACCAAATTCTGTGGCTCTCTCATAAAAAATTAATTTTGATCTTCGACTCTCAGTCTGGTTAGCGGCTTGCTAAAAACTGAGTCATATTGGGACTTGAGTAGCTCACTCATTTCCTTGCTGTCATCTGTGTAGGACCCATCTTGTTTAAGTAGGGGCCCAATACTGGATGTTGTTCTCGACTTTGATTTGGCATAGGAGAAGAAATACTTTGGGTTTCTTTCGATTTCATTTATGGCTTTTAGTTCTTCCCGCGATTCCTGACTCCTATAAGATTCCTTTAGCTTGAGTTCGATGCTTGCTATTTCTCTGACCAGTGTCTCCCTACGCATTTCAGATATATTGACCTCTTTTAGCCGCTCTGTTATTCTTTTCCGTCGCCTGTAAAGGGAGCGCCTGTCTCTTTCTATTTTACATCTACTCCTCCTTTTTCTTAGAGGAATAAGCCTTGTGCATACATCGAGTGCCACCAGGTTAATCTGTTCTAGGCATACGTTGGGGTCTGTGTTGCTTAGTATATCTTCCCAGCTTATATCGGTTAGGACTTGGTTTACTTGGTCCCACTTTATGTTTTTGTTATTGAAGTTGAATTTGGTGAATGCTCCCTCGTGACTAGTCTCATTATGTCGGTCTGGGGCTCCCCGCATACATGTCTGAACCTCAATTATGTTGTGATCTGAGTATATTGTTTTTGATATGGTGACATTTCTTATCAGATCATCATTGTTAGTGAAGATGAGGTCTAGTGTATTCTCCAGTCTAGTAGGCTCTATTATTTGCTGGTTTAAATTGAATTTTGTGCAGAGATTTAAAAGCTCGTGTGAGTGTGAGTTTTCATCAGAACTGCCTCCTGGTGTTATTACTGCAACAATATTATTTGCTATATTCCTCCATTTTAGGTGCCTTAAGTTGAAATCCCCCAGGAGCAAGATGTTGGGTGCAGGAGCTGGAAGATTTTCCAGACAGTGGTCAATTTTTAACAGCTGTTCCTGGAATTGCTGGGATGTTGCATCCGGAGGCTTGTAGACTACCACAATGACTAGGTTTTGGTTCTCGACCTTTACTGCTAAAACTTCCACTACATCATTTGAGGCATTTAGCAGTTCTGTGCAAACAAGTGACTCTGCAATGTACAGGCCCTCCCCCCCCTTTTGCCTGTTCACTCTGTCACATCTGTATAGGTTGTAACCTGGGATCCATATTTCATTGTCCAAGTGATCCTTTATGTGGGTCTCAGTGAAAGCCGCGAACATTGCCTTTGCCTCTGCAAGCAGTCCACGGATGAAAGGTATTTTGTTGTTTGTTGCTGGTTTTAGACCCTGTATATTTGCAAAGAAGAATGTCATCGGACTGGTGGTATTGTTGGTACTGGGGGGGATTTTTTTTCCGGCATTAGTATCTGTATCTGTTGGTTTGGAGTGGAGGCCATCGACTGTGGTTCCACTCCAGGAATGACTGGATTTGGTGTACGATTTCTGCCATTTCCTGCCAGTTTTTTTTTCCTTCCTGGCACTAAAACAAATCTAAACAAATCTAAAATATATTTAGTTAGGTTAGGCTAAAATAAATTATTTTTGTTATAATAAGGTTAGGTAAGTTTTCTAAGATTCTTTTGGAGCAAAATTAAAAAGTTTTACATTAATATTAATGAAAAAAAAATATATCTTTAAACGTGTAAGAGAAAATTTTAGAAAGGACATCATTTTAAATGAGTTCTTGCTATTTGACCAGTTTTACATATTCGGCACGACATATATATATATATATATATATTATATAATATATATATAATAAATAATATAAGATATAGTAAGATAGAGAGAGAGAGAGAGAGAGAGAGAGAGAGAGAGTACCACCTCTATGGCTTGTCATTTAACGCTTCTTTATTTGGAATATGGAGTTGGTCTTCAATTTGCAGCTAAAACAGTACCAGTTCATCGAGGAATTGATTCATGTAACATTTGAACATTATCCTGGGGAACTGTGAACCATTGTTCAAGCCAAACTTTGTGTAACTCTTCCAGAGACGACGGCGGAGGAAACTGGTTCTTGACTTACTGTTCCAGTTGACCTCACAGATGCTCGATAATATTTCGATCCGGTGATTGTGGGAGCCAATCCAAGTGTTCGACTTCGTTCTGATGTTCTTCATGACAATTTTGAACACCTCTAGCGGTGTGAACAGCTAAATTATCGCCTTGGAAGATAACGCAAAAAAAGGGACCCGTAACACATTTAAACTGATTATTCAGTCCTGCAACAGTTCAGTCAACAAGTGTTTGTTGTTTGTCCAGCCCCGGAATATGTTACTAAGTATATATATTACTTTATTGGAAACGTTTACGTTTCGTAGTTAACTTGTTACGTCATCAGAACGTCAAAATGAAATGTTAAGTTGTAAAAAGACATTGAAATGATATAAAGACACTAAGTAATCAATCTAAATGCCAGAAATAAAGTGAATAGTGTCATGAATAAATCTAGAAATAAATTGAACCAGCAACAAGAGTAACATTAAACTGATCCTCTCCACCGAGCTATTGTTACCTTCTTTACCAAGTTTTTCTTGTTTTGATTTGTTTTACACAGCTGGATTTACAGGGCAAGAGCTGTTATCCTACCTCACGTCCTTTCAAAGCCAAGTCCTATCAAAGGTTTATGATGTGGGTTAGTTAAATGGGTTTGAAGTCTATCGTGTTTCCAAGGGGTCATCGAGGCTGCATGTCGCTTGTTTACCACCAGTCAAGAATACTTTCATCCTCAAAACAAGCATTATACCTGGAGTATACCTGGAGGGTGTTCCGGGGGTCATCGCCCCCGCGGCCCGGTCCAGGACCAGGCCTCTGTACATATACACACAGATATACCTCTCGTTGTTTACATCCTTCGGGGGCGTGTCAAGTGCATCTCTATAAGACGAGGAATTAGAAACATGTGCAACATCTGGGTAGCTATATTTATAGACGTCTGTAGATACCCATCTG